TTGTTTAATAGACAAATTATTTTTTTACTATTTTAGGTAAATTTTGAACTTATTTTACTTAATCTGGTTGTGGTTTGCAGCCATAGAGGCGTAGACCACATTGCATTTTGCTATTTAAATTAATCTCCTTTGCAAAAACTCTTAGCTTTCTATTTGTACTACAAACTAGGAGCTGAATCTGCAGAAGTGGTGCATTTTGTGAATGCCTTTAGGAAAATGTGTGTTTCCATGATGCTGGTTAGTAAATGGTTTGTCTATTCTGTCATTTGTCTAGGCACAGCACACTTGTTTTAGGGCAAGAGAAAGATGCACACAGGTTTGAGATCGAAGCAGCTGAATTTTAGTGCTATAGCTGTATCTTCTGCTCACGGTTAGGAAAGCGTAAAATTAAGATCCTAAATTACAGTTCATATAAACAGTCACTACATACTTAAAGGGAGCACTGAGGAAGATCACGAAAGGGCAAATGCAGAATAAATGTGTCATGTCCTCTCACAAAGAATGATCTTCCTGCTGCCCTTGAAATGACTTTGACATATGGGGTCAAGAGAACAATCAGGGCCGTGAGTCTGATTCATCAGAGATATTTTCCTGCAGCCCAAAATTCAGATACCTGTGTGCCAGGTATGTTTGTGGAATTCAAAACATACCTTTTATTTTCCATTCCCCCTTGTCCAACAGAGTGTAGGTTCACTGCTAAGTGTAAAGGTTGCTCTTTTAAGCAACTATGCACAGCTATATCCTTATTTTAAGGAATCTGCATTCAGCAGAGATATGAATCTATTTTTTATAGCCAAAGGTCTAACAGTTAGATACAATCCTTAGCTTCATAATACCCAGATTCCTCTGTAATTTTCAGCCTAGACCAATATCTGCCTCCGGAGTAAAAGGAGATGCTCCTTTGAGAGTCACTTAAGTTTCTAAGGGGATCAAATTTAAAGCATATTTTTTGCTCTGCGTAGCACAAAACTGAACATCCTCAACAATTCTCAGGTCCCTTACTCTATCCATGAACTTAACTGCAATTTCAGTCTTTTGTGAAGGGATAGTGACATTATCTTTATATTCTATAGCTAGGTGTGCGCAGAAGACTAGCAGTGGCAGCTCAGGATAATTCATCTGGTTTATTTAAGCAGCTGAATACCCCATAGCTCACTGCACTGTAGCGTCTACCATGAAGATAAGTCCAGGCACCTGAAGCATAAACATGATGGGAACATTATGTCTGTTGAGTAATTTTGGTAGCGGCAAGGACAAAGAAATAATCAGAGCTGCAACTGAAGCAGAGAAGTTCATGAATATCTTTGAATTTATATCACTAGACTTCACTCCTTCTTATTTACCTTGTAATTCAGATGATCTGTAGATCTGTTTCAGGTTGCATGCTTTATTAAATGCACTTGCAAACACCCACTGCTCTCTCCCATTAGTACAAAAGATTTGTAGGTCACTGACATTTGTCACCTCCTGGTTTTGGGAAGAACAGACGAGAAAAGCTCCTCTTCAGGACAAAGTCTTGCATGTTCCTCTGAAAGCTTGTCTTTGCAAAACAGGTTGCAGATGGACTTCCAAAGGATCCTACCTGTCCCTTCAAAATCCTAGGTGTGAGGTGCAACTTGGGGTACAGAGTGAGAATGATTGGACAAATTTGTACAGAACTGGTCTTTGCAAGGAAAGTGATAACATTTTCTAGTTTAATTTTTAGCTATAATTTGGGCAGTGGAATTGCATCCATAACGGTGAACGGCTCTTTCAGCGATGGCCGGTGGCACAGAGTAAAGGCTGTTCGGTAAGTCTTCTCTCTGAGTGGTGACACTTTATCTCAGAGGCATTTTGGTGATGCCCTGCCATAAAGGTACTGTTGGGCTAGGTGGTGGTTGGTCATGAATCATTGCATCTCCATGTTCTCACATCACATAGGAGCTGAACTCTAGGCAACTTGGCTGTTTCAATATGATGTACACAAGGACCATTGTATTAGAGGTGACAATGCCAACTTTGCAACTCAGTACAGCTCAAGGCAGGCTGCCAGAGTCATGCAGAGCTATTTGGAGGCTGTGACAGACATTCCTTAAACCCATACCATTTGGGTTAGGAGAATTTTTCTCCAATGTCTGCACTTTGAAATTCCCCAGTGAGCATCTTGTGGGCTGGCACAAGCACTGGAGCACTGACCATGTATGTCTACATTTTCTAAACTATTTGGAGGAGGTGCAGACATCTTTCAGTGTATATATAACTTGTATTTATAACTCATTGCCTCATAGGAGGCAAGTGAGCCCAGCAGGGAAAGCATGCTCTTTGTGAGATGTTGGGTTCCTGGAAATCACAGGCTGACATTACAACAACTTGTGACACAATTCAGTGAGAATAGGAACCTATGATCTGGCTCTTCTGTCAGTGCATCTACTGACTTTGTGAAATGGAAGTGGCCAAAAGACCCTAGCAAGAAAAGGGCTTTATGAGCTTTTTATAAGTTTTATAGCTTGCGTTAGTATTAGCTTGTTTCCCCAACCCTTCTTATTTAAGCTTCTGCTATTTACTTTTTGTTTTACTTTTGACTCTTAAAAGGATATTAGGATCTGCCAATCTTCTCCTTACCCCTAGGTATTCATTCTGATCTTGTTTATTATGAATCCTTTGATATATCTTTTCCAGTTTCTTCCTTCTCTGGAAGTATAACCCCTCTTTGCAGCCTCTTTGACACTGTCCTCCCTGAAAAAGGCACCCTGATGCATCAGGACTGCCACATCACGTCACCGTCAGTGGCTCTCCCCAGCATCAGCCCCAGGTCTTTATGCTGAATGGGGCGTCACCTGGGTCTCCTGGCACAGGGAAATGCTGTCACTGCTGCTCCTCCCTTTCAAAAGTCAACTGGATGCGTGAAAGTGGTTTCTTTGTTGTTTCAGAGATGGCCAGTCTGGCAAAGTAACAGTGGATGATTATGGTGCCAGGACTGGCAAATCGCCTGGGAAGATGAGGCAGTTGAACATCAACGGGGTTCTCTATATAGGTGAGTATTTGCTGCACAGGGTGGCTGGAGGGAGCTGCGGTGTTGTCGAACCCAGGCTCAGTCTGCCTGAGGAGGGCCAGACCCAATGTGCACTGTTGCCCCACTGTCAGGGGAATGCAGACACCATTGATACCATTGCAAACCTTAGTATCTCTGTGAGACCTGAGCTGCAAGCTTGCTAAGCTCTCATGGATGGGACAAACTATGCAGTAAAGAGGCTCTTCTCCTCACCATCTATGCTTTAGACTGTCTAAAAACTGCATTTAAAAGCACAGAGAAACCTGTAAATTGAATTTACTGTCTAGGAGGAGCTAGAAAAGAGAACGCTGTTGTTATGTGTGCAGTCTGCCAGGCAGGAATAACCACGGCTTTTGGTGATAAATTGTTCATGGCCGTATACCTCCCAGGTGGGATGAAGGAGATCGCACTGCACACCAACAGGCAGTACCTGCGAGGCCTTGTGGGATGCATCTCCCACCTCACACTCTCCATGGATTATCACAGCTCGCTCGTGGAGGATGCAGCTGATGGGAAGAATATCAACATGTGTGGGACCAAGTGACAAGAGAGGAACCATGGCGCGGAGAGCCCGTTGTGCACTTGCGTGTGTGACTGAAACCGCGCTGGCCACCACAGTCCTCTATGGCCAGGCTGTGTTTGCCATTGGAGCCGAAGGGAAGCCCTAAGGAAGGACATTTTCCCTCTCCTTTCCTCTGCTGACCAAAGCAAACAGAACTGAGTGTTTTGTGTAGGAACCGTCCCTTTTACGCATTAAATGTTTAGTGAATGCTAAAGATTGTGCGCCAGTGCAAATGGCAAAGAACTGTGTGATGTAATGAGTAGTTTAATGACTGTGTTGTGGTCCGTAGGTTATTTCTTTTACTATCAAAGAGAGAAGTTTTGCCTGCATTCATTCCAGCCTAGAATGATACAAGGATTGCATTGTTCAGCACACATATTATCAGACACTGTATCTATGCATTCAAGTACAGAATGAGCAGTTCTTCTTAGCACTCGCTCAATTAGCTAAATTATGTTTCATCTTGTGTAAATAATACTCGCAGTGAGTAGTTTCAAATATTGTTGTTTGTTGAGGAGGAAAGTTCTTAAAGTCTACTTTTTTATTACAAGCAACAAGATCAATGAACCAATTTTGTAGAAGTAATTTTATACTTGTATATTTTTTATAGCAGCAGCAGACCTGCTTGCACAGTATAACTTTCAACATGTAGGTGTACTATACAATTAGCTCTTTGCACACTTTCCTAAAAATAGCAAAGCAAACCATGGTTTAAATTTGTTATATGGGAGGCTCATGTCTGTATTATACAGTTTTGGTGGTGATATTTGTGAATCATAACCAGTTTTAAATTTGACTCTTTTTGTTTTGTAAATTTTGACAATTTAAAATTGTAAATTATGAAGCTTTCCTGGCTTAAAAAGATTAAAACTTAGGGGGGAAAAAAAAGAGCAAATCCTTGCTACTTGTGATATTTTAAATCTTTTTTTTATGATCAAAAATCAGAAAAGGGATGTGCTGGATACCTCTGTAGGTCACGATCCTCCTAAAACAAAATATGTTCTAGGCATCCAATCAACACTTATGCAATTTTGGTTGCCAAACTGTAATTTAAGCAGTCAAACAGAGTGCTGGTGAGATAGGTAGGAAATGAGCCAGAGTTTCAGCAAGTGGACATTTTCTCTTTATGAACTCGTTAGCTGAGAAGACCTCCTGGCAGCCCTGACTGTGATGTTGCTACCAGTCGATGTCAGACAGGCTCTATCTAAAGTCTCACGAGCTAAGACAAGCCAGTGTGGCAAAAGCTGCGCACATGTAGAGATTGCGGCTGCGTCGACATCGTGCCCATGATGCACCCTGTTGCCTTGGAATCAAAACACACAGCTGAGGCTGGTCCTGTCCAAAGCAGACTGCAAACAGCTGCAGGATCACGGGAAAAGAATCATGGATGCGGCTGCCTGATCTCTGCACATGCAAAATAATTCTCAGGAAGAACCCAGCCCTTCTTGTGTGTGTTGAAAGATAAATGGTAATCAGTCAGGTGAAAGATCTCAGGCTCATTGTAGCCACATAAGCAGAGGCCAAAAACAGCTACTGGGACTTTAAACTAGAGGACTAGGAAAAAGAAAAAAAAAAAAAAAGACCCATGGGGACCCCCTGCTTT